CGCTGCCCCGCCCGCCGTGGCTGGAGAGCTGCAGGGCCCTCTCGGGGCAGTTCCAGCGGTCCCAGGCAAACTGGAACTTGCACTCCTCGATGCCGCTCTGCGCCCCGGCTGCCACGCTGCTGGAGTAGATGAGGTAGGCCTGGGAGAGAGCAGCGGGTCAGCGGTGGGGACGGTGCGTGCCCTGCTTCAGCCCCCCAGCACTAGGTGTGAGCTTGCAAAACCCAGTCAGGATGAGCTGGCCAGCGAGGAGGGACAGCCCCGGGGCAACGGGCTGGGAATGTCCCCAGGCTGCTCCCAGGGCCCGGGGAGTTGCTCAGCAGCTCTGGTTCCCATCACGGGCACGGTGAAGCTGGTGTAGCCCCAGCTTCTTCCCAGCTTCTTGCTACGCAGCCATGGGGCCCGCACAGCCGTGCCTTTCATAGGTCCTGCTGCTCTAGAGTCTCGACAGAGAGAGCAGACAGTGCAAACCCCCCTGGAGAACACAGCCCCAGGCTCCCCAGGAGGCTGGTGTTCCACTGGAAACAGCGTGCGTGCCATCCGGCAGAGCCGGGGTGTCCGTAGCTGGGGAGGTCACTCAGGCTGGGCTCCCCTGGGGAGCATGGAACATGCTTTCTGCTGCCCAGGTCAGAGCCTGAGCCTCCCCGCGGCAGGAGACCAAGCAGAGCTGTTGGCTGTGAGCCATGTTAGGAGGTGTGCCAGCCAGATGTGAGATGGGGTCCCTTTACCTCTCCAGCATGAGAGGAAGCAGAACCTTCTGCTCAGAGACCAGGAGCTCCAGGCCTCAGCTGCCTCCTCCTCCACCACGGCTCCAGGGGAGTCCTGCTGCTTTGCGGCAGGACTGCTCTTGCCCGCCAAGTGCTGCAGCAAGAGCTAGATGGGCTCGTAGTGTTCCTGGGGAACAGTGCAAGGAGGAAGGGGGTGTGAAAAACACTGAATGAGGTCCTGGCAATTCCAGTTGTGCTCACTGGGGAAGTGCATTTTGCAGGGCCTACAGAAAGTGCCCTTCCAGCTGGGTGAGTGTGGGTCCTGATGCTATCCTGATCATCAGGGAGCAACAGATGCCAGGTGAGATGCCCAGCTGGTGCCCCCCCCCAGCCTTGTGGCTGGAAAGCTGGGGGTGAGGGGAGCTCTGGCCAAGGCTAGAAGGAGAGGAGCGGGAAGGATGACCCCCCCCCTCTTCCTGGGTTTAGTGGAATAAGGGACAGAGGGGGCCCGTCATCAGGAAATTATTCACTGACCTGGAAGACAGAGACAGTGTCAGCGGGGAGGGGGTGATGGCGGAGGGGTCTGGGGAATGCCAGGCATCCCTGGGCTCTCCCCTCACCCCCCGCAGCCTGCCTGGCTCCTGGCTGCAGGCACCTTTGGTCTCTCTGCCTGCCTCCCCTCACCGCTCCCTGCAAGCCAGGATGGTGCCTTCTCCATCTCCCCCACCCCTCTCCTCTGACCAGGCTGCAACCCCCTCACTGCTCCCTTCTTTTGCGTTCTTCCCCACAGCTGCCCTTCATACCAATCCCTCTCTCTTTTTTAGGGTTTTTCCTGTTCCCTCAGCCTTGCTTTTTGCCTTACCAAGCTGCTGTTCATCTTAACCCAGGAAAGCGTTGCCCCTAGCCCCACAAGCACCCCGGTTCCTGCTGCAGCCCCAGGAGATGGGCTGTGTGCCCGCACAGCTCTCCCCGCACGACCATGCCAAGGGAAGGAGGAAGTCACGCTGCTGCTCCTTCACAGTGCGTCCCGGCAGCATCTCCCCCGATCACAGTCCCTTGTTTCCTTGTAGTGCCAGCTCTGGCTGCCCACACGCTCCTCTTGGTCACATTAAGGTGATGGCTGAGCACAAATACACTTGTCCTCCCCATTCTGCTGGGCTCTGTGTGGGGAGGAGTGGGGGCAGGGGAGAGGTGGTCCTAGCCAAAACTAAACTTTCTGGTGCCTTCCAACTGAAATACGAAAAATGGAGATGAATAGTTTCCAAATGTGCCTATTTGTAAGTATTCCTGTGAAACATTTAATTCTGCCACCATTTACAGAAAACTGTTCTACTGAAAATGCCAGGTTTGTTTTAGTAATCTTAAATTGCAGGCTCCTGAAAACTCCAGCTCTGGGAGTCTCACGATCCCCCTCTTTGTTCTGCAGGTCAGTAACTCCTACTTCTCTGGTGAGAGAGGACACTGAGGCCCGAGAGGTGGCATGACTGGACTGAGACCTTGCAGTGAGTGAGTGCAAAAGCATGCACCGAGGGAAACTGGGCTCTTCGGCTTCCGCTTGAGATGATGTTCTACACAAATGCTGGTAGTCTCTCAGTGGAGGATGCCGCTCCTTTTCAGCTAGCCTTAACCCACGCTGTGTCCCTTCAGCAGAGCTGCATGCTCCGCTCTGCAGCAGGGCTGTCCGGCACGCAGCGATACTTGCTGCTTTTCTAGCTCCTCTCCATTCCCTGAAAATCCCAGTAGCTGGGTAGACCTTGGCTGGATGTGGGGGAGAAAGGTGCAGGTTAGGGTATGGTTTTTCCTCCCTGTATGTTTTTTCAGGTGATGCTGTCTGGAGCCACAGGTATCCCTGGTAAGGGAGAGAAAGGCACTGTCCTGCTGTGCTACAAATCCAGCACAGAGAGTGCAGGGGCATCCCAGGGTGGGCTCGAGCACAGGCAAAAGCAGGTGTTGCCGTCCCAAGCTGGAGGACAAAGCGTAGCCATGCTGCAGCCCTGCTGTGGACATGGGGGCAGACAGGGTGTAGCCTGGTCAAAACCTCAAAAAAAAAAAGGTCTTTGCTATTGCTCACCGTTTAGAAAGAGTTGAGAGAACTAGTTTGCAAAGCTTCACTCTGGCAAATCTAACTGCCTTTTTGGTGGAGATGTGTCCATGTTGATGAATCTTGTGCTGGGAAAGATTCCCCTGAGCCAAAACGGGAGGGAGAGGGCTGTGCCAGGGCACTGCGAGAGCAGGAGTTCCCTTCCCTTTGTTCCAGGCCTGGGATTCAGCCCCTGTGGGTACTTTAGCACGAAGTTGAGGGCTGTTTTGCAGAGGAATTTTCCTTTGGGAGCCGCTTCTGCATTGTACAGCTAATTAAATATTTCCTGGGACTCGGAGAGACGGCATCTGTAGCCGAGTGATTAGAGCATCGGGTGACCTGAATCACACAGGGCCATGAACCTGGGGCTTTTCAGACTGTGTAAGCTCTGTGGGTCCCCATCCTAATGCAACAGGGTAGCAGCGTGAACAAGTCATTTTTCCATCTGGTTTCCCTCCTGTCCTTTGCCTTGCCCTTAAGTGCTCTGCTATGGGGACCACACTTCGGATGGTGTCAGCGTGAATCTGAGCCCCTGGTAGCAACTGTGAGAAAACTCCAGTAAAATGCCCCTGTGTAGGCAAGATCTAGGGAACTGCAAGTCCTCTCTTATCTTGTTTTTGTGTTCAAACCAAGAGACACATCCCATCTGCATTGCTTCCCACCTCGGTAGGAAACACCAAATTCACAGCGCGCGAGAAGGATTTGCTGCAAATCCTTGCTGGCCTCCTCTTGGATTAGGAACAGCTGAAGTAGTGGCAAGAGTGGCTTTAGGAGGAAGACAGTAATCCACAAGTTCAGGGTTTACTGCAAACCAGCCTGTTAGCAGGTGTCAATTGACATAACTGTATTGAAGCAGAGGATCTGTTCCTCCCGGGGTAAACCTGAAGGTTCACAAAATGGCCAAGTTCAGGATATGCCAATTCACCATCTGCAGCTGAGCAAATGGTACAGTAGCAATTTCCCAGCAGGATTTTCAAAACATTTTTATTAAGTCGGAGAGACAGAAGGCATTTTCCCTGAGCTCTCTGATCAACAGGCAGGCACGCTGCTGGGCGGGTCTGAAGGACTTAGACAAGCAAGGATTCATTCGGACTGGTACACTTGACCCCCCATATTTAACTCTTGCAGCTGCAAGTGGGTTCGGGAGAAGGGGAGTTGGGACTGTCGTATGGCTGGAGGCTAGCTGAAATTTTTCTTATTTGTGCTGAGAGGGTCGGAAAGATAATAATGAAGACAAAATCTGTGCACTTTTCTTTTGCCTGTATGATCCAGCTAAGAAAAATGCATCTCTGTTCTGGATATAGTCTCCAGCAAGGGCAGAGAGTAATTAAGCCACTTGTTCCATGGATGTAGCGCAATATTGGCAATGCCACTAGCGTTATCTCTGTGCTGCAAATAGGAATCACTATAAAAATGAATCTCTCTTCAGTTTTCTCTCTGCAGTGTGACATTAAAATTTATTTATTTATACTAATTTTCCATACCACTGTAAAGGAAAGCAGAATGTAATCTGAAACTAACTAGCTAGCTGCATCCGTAATGGGTGTAAACCAGCCCAATTCCCATGCCTTTGGTGTCACTACACTGATTTAAAACTTTTTGAAATCACACACATGAAATGAAACGCTTGAAATTACTTCTCTTCTCCGAGAAAGCTGACGGAGTTTCTAGCTGTCTAAGCCCCTTCCCCAACACTTCCAAACTCCGGAACAGCGTTACGCAGGCTGAAGCGGAGCAGAGACAGAGCTCAGCAGGCAGAGAGAGGGGTCCCACCGAGTCCTTCAGCCCCCTCCACAGCCCCTGCAGGGCCCTGGCCAGGGCACGCTGCTTCCTTCACTGCAGCTCTATGCATCCAGGTAAAAAGCAAATCTAGGGCAAGTGATTTTCATTGCAGTCAATATTTGGAAATTATCTCAAATCTAATGAGTATCTATAGCAGGAGTTCTATAGCCTAGTTTTATTGAACCTGAAAGCAAATAACCCTGCCAAGCAGATGTCCCATTATATTTTACACATATCAAATACTAATAAGTCTCTGATAATTTCTGCTCGGTAACAACCTTAACCAATAACAACATCCTGCTTCTCAGTTGAATGTGCCCCAAGAGTCTTATCAAATCTCCCATTAAAGTATTTGTTTGATCATGCTGCTGGTTACCCTCTTTAGAAAACCATAAAGCTGTATTTAGATCTTTACTGTTATTATTGTAAATACAGAAAATGAATACAATTTCACTTTGGATCTGAGTTTTGTTCTCAAGTACAGACTCCCCCGAGCTGTTAGAAAACCAGTGACACTGGAAACTAAAGGCAATACCACATCTGAAGTGTAAAAAACCATTTAGAAACAAGCTGCTGCATTGGAGATTGTTACATTATTCCCACAAGATAGCAGACCGGGAGGCAACTTATTAACATTTGGAACTTTACATTTTTTTTTCATTTCTCTCTATTTTGTTATATTTATTTGTTTTTTAGTTCCTAAACACAACCCTGACATTTTGTTCATCTAGAAACACGCTGACCATTAAACCTAGCTGACATGGCAGAATCTAATCCACACTCAGAGACGGGAAGTGGCCACATACATATAAAAAAATTATTGTTGATCTATATTGCCCCCCACTCCCAATTCTTGTGATTGAATCACAGGAAAAAAGAATCTTGTTGCATTTGAAGCTGTTGGATCAGATAAAGAAGACCAGCAAAAATTGCAAGCAGGATTATTCTCACTAACCTTGCTTTTTTCTCCTCAGGAATTAAGGGACAGGGTCTGTAACACGATCATTTTGAATAGAGTTTGCAATTCTCCTTTCCCTCAGGAAATCATGACCTATGAGCAACCCGTTGAGAGAAGCAGATCTATCTTGATCTATAAACTTTTCTCTTACATAAAAACTTCTGAAAGGCAGACAGGGAATTTAGACATCCAACTTCCACTGAAAATGCCTGGGATTTCTGTATTTGACTCTACTTTGTGCTCTGAAATTTCTCCCCTTTGAAATGTTTATTTAAAATGTTGATTTTTTTTTTAATATTTTAATCTATTCTAAACCTGTTTATATTGAGGAAAGCAAGAGATATACACAGGAAGAGCAGAAAAATAACAATAAATCAGCATAAGTTCTTTCCCGGCCTCTATGCATAACGTGCATATTCCCCTTGTTCCAGAAGGGAGATTTATCTTGAGTTTGCTAATGTATAATATTTAGACATACACAAATTGTTGAGCATTCTCTTAATGAAGGGATTTAATCTCTGAAAGAACATAAATGTCTCTCTCAGCCTAACAGGAACGAGTTCCCATTTACTCTTCAGTTTCTCTTTCTGTAATTCTGGTTTCTCCATCCCTGGTAACAATCCTAGAGATCTGCTATGGGGGAGGCGGGGGGTTTTAGTAATTGAAGGGGAAAAGACTTTCCCTGCTGTTAGAGATAAGTCTGTAACCCACTGAGCGGATTCCCCAGGGCATCACCGAAATGGAGAATAAAGTTTGGGTACTCAGTAAAAATCACGTAGGAAAAAAACACCTACAGAGCCGGGTCATTTGAGTCCGTCTCCACTGGGGTATGGGATAGATATACTCTGCAAGGAATGATATGAGATTTGATGCAAGTGTAATATCTTTCTGTTCACCCATATAAAACATTTCCGGAAATAAATGTAAAACCACCCCTAGGACAGAGCAGGAGGCCCACAGGAGGTGACCGCAGGTCTGTGCACAAGGGAACTGGCCTGACGGGACCCAGGCGGTTGGGAACCAAGCCGCAGCAATCTCCGTACCAAAAGCTTCTCCCCGGGAAATCCTAACATATGAATTTCAGACGTGTAATCCTGATCCTGTGCCTGCCAAGGAGCCCGGCCCTCAAGCTGCTCGTCCGGAGCGACGCTCCTGCGGGTCTTACTCATCCCTGCCGTCTCTGAGCTCTTAATCAGGGACTGTCCTCTCCGGGGAGCACGGGGAAGCCCCGCTTGATTCGATTAAGACAAGAGACAAGCTGACTGTGAGCCTTCGGAAAAACAGAAATCCCTGGCTTTCCCGTTGGGTTATCTTCCCAGTTGGAAGCGAGGGGCTAGATTCTCCGCATCCGCTCTCCTCTGTTTTACCCCAGCTCAGGATTTGGCCTGTGTAGTTACCGTCGGGAGGTGCAGGGGAAAAAAGGGGACTTTCTTAGATCTAACATCTCTGCCAATGAGTGTGTTGGGACTTAGTTAAATATCTGGTCCCATTAAAGTCCAGAACTGAGCTAAGTGGGGACATTTAGGAAGGTGAAGAGCAATTTCCTTAGGGTGTCAGGGACGAGCACCAGCCTGTGACACAGACTGAGGTACTCTCAATACTCACCAGGCACAGCAGGATTGGAAGAAGGGAGTGAGGAAGAAGATGCCCAGATAAGGGTCCATGTGAAATGTAAAATCCAAGTAAAGAGGGAGAAAGGAGATCCTAAAAAAAAAACCTTGGGTACCACCACCACCCCAGAAAAGAAAAAAAAAAGGAAAATGAAACACAACAAAATTAGGGAAGGGATGGAGTTATTTTCCACCCGGCGGTCCTGGTGTGATGAAGAGGCGTATGCCCCCTGAATCCCAACTTCTGCGAAGGGTAACCAATCCTAGAGTAAGAGCTAAAGGGGGTTGGTGAAATGGAGCCGCAGAACTTCCTAAGAAGAGATTATCTACTTAATTAAAGATTTTTTTTTTCCCTAAGTCCTTCAGCCAATCAGGACTCAAGTGCCAGAGAGAGATTGAACTGATGAAAAGAACACCCCAGGTTCCTCGAAGACAAATGCACCACGAAAGGGATAAGAGGGAGGGAAAAGGGGAAAACAAAAAGAAAGAAAGAAAAAGAAAGAGAGAAGGATAAAGAAAGAGACAGCAAATCCCTTAAAGTAATCAGCAATCCCCACCAGCGCTGCCCTCCTCTCTGTCCCCAGCACAGGCGAGGGGAAGGGGGGCTTTCGGTGTGCCCTGCCTCCCCTGCCCTGGAGCCCTCGCTGGCTGCTCTGGGACGGGGGCTTGCATGGGGGCCACCCGCACCCGCTGCTCCGAGGCCATGCGCCTCCTCCATCACGGTGACCGGCTCTTCCTTCCCACCTCCCCTTTCCAGCCTGCCACTCTCACCCTGGGAGGAAGGCCTCTGACTAAATATCCCCAGCTCCCCTTAATTTCTTGCTTTCAGGGTTTCCTTTGAAGTCCGTGGGAGGGGGTCTTTGGGATGGTCAGCAGTCTCTCAGTGGGGGCTTAGCCCGGGCCAAGAGCTGCTGGAGCTCCTCAGGAGTGCACCCAGCCTGTGCCTCCCGGCCGTGTGGGACATCCCAGCTGGGCCCCACCACCCGCCGAGCTGCCCCGGAGCCGTGGGACCATCTCCTCCGCTCTGCACCGCAGGTTTTTCCGGCGGA